CTATGGGATAAGAACTTTGAAACGGGTAATAAAACACTAATTTTTTTTAATGAAATCGATGCATTTAATGATTTAAAAGCCTTTTTTGATGGACTTGTTTTAGAATCCAATATATCGCATATCGCTTTAAAAAATATTGTATCGTATCGTATCGAATTTTTTTGGTCAATACACAGCCCTATAGCACACCAACACCATAGGACAGGGAACTAGAAAACACGGCAATATAATGAAAACTTATATTACAGGAACTAAATTTCGTTTTTTATGATTATATTTGTTATTTGAATTAAAGAAGATTCTCACTTTTTAGAGGAGAGGAATCCATTATGGTAGTTTGCAGTTATCCAAGCGAACACGCCCTCTTCTTCGCCAGAGAGAATTCGGACGCTCCTTTCGCTGTAATTGAATCTGTTGATTCTTCTGTCGTATAAAACACGTCTTACTGTATTCATCAAGTTTCTAGCATCTTCCTCTTTTAGAAATCGAAGACCTAGGAAAGAATTCGAAGTGTATTTGTTTTAATGATAAAAAGAAACGTTCATATTGACCATTTTGTGTGAGATGGCTAATTGCTTAAGTATGTTGATTACCTGCAGTTGCAAGTAAATACAGATGTCTTCTATTATGAACATCATACGGCACTTTTGATTCGGCGATTGAGGTCAAGTTACGAATATATTCCGGAATCGAATCTAATTTATTCTGAAATGAACTCAATGGTGGCTTTATATTTTTAGAAAATATTTCAGTGATGCTAAATGTTGAGAAAGTTGATCTTCGATCAGGCCATGAATACACTCTGACCCGTTAGCTGAACTCCCTGCATCGATCATGACACTATAATGTAATGTCATTGCGCATGCTCTGTCTGCCAAGAAGAGGCCAACCATAAAAATGACACATGTAGGCATTTTCTGAAATAGAACAAAAAATGTTCATCTCAACTTTATCATAAAAGTTCAGCGATGGTGTTAATTTTGGTTACGGAAAATTACTTGTACATAAATGTTCAGCGATGGTGTTAAGTTTGGTTACGGAAAATTACTTATATATAAATGATTTTCTTTTTTTATTTAGAGCAATTATGATTTTAATTACTGTATTTAAATTTTACAGTGTAAAGTTTCATTGGAAGGGAAGAATGGGGAGGTCAGAGTTTGTCCAGTAAGTTTCACCAAATCGGTAAAATTTTGTTAGATTTATAAATTTTTACATTTATTTTAGAATAACAATTAATTACTGATATAAAGACTAAATAAATGTTCTGAGGAAGTATTCAAGGTATGAAAAATAAGTAAATATTTGAGGATTGGTGTTTATTAACCAATAAAATTCAAGCGAAAAAAGTTGTACGAGTATTTAAAGATTGCACCAAAGAAAAAACATCTTATTTTAAAAATCACTACTATTCATATTTTTTGTTTGTTTGTTTGTCGTTTGAGATACTCTTATCACTGTCAATACATTTATCTTTTTAAAGTATAAGAGAAAACTTTTAAAACATTGCTCCTTCAAGATTCCGAAAATATTTGAAAGTCTGTATGAATTTACTCAGCAACAGCCAAGGTGCAATCACAACATGGTGCGTGCTTAATTACCCTTCGGTAGATGAATTCAATGTTATTTGGTGACCCGTTTGACATTTTCCAATCTAGGCTGAGAAAATAGGCTTCTTTAAGCTTGTTTTTAAGCAAAATTGCTGTTCAACAAACTCCTTTATCAATTGAGCTATGTTTCATCGTTTTTTAAAGATGATTACTCATTTTATCATTAAATAAACTTGAAAGAATGATCGAGAAATATGTGCCTGCATCGTTCAATTCCCTCGAGAAACTTGTACACATGTTTGTATTTGTTTTAATTTCTCAACGATATTGAATCACTGCATGCAGTATAACAACAAAGACAAAATTATTCAATAGCAATAAAATAGCACGAATAAAGACAAAAATATCCATCGAAACAAGATATCACAAAATAATTTGCAAGTTAAATTTTCACCTTTTTCTCGTTGCAATATTTAAATATCTAATCAAAATTTTGTTCGATTCCTTATTCTTTTAAACTTTAATATTCTGTAAACATTTTAGGATCTGGTAACTTAAATAATTATCATCATCGAAAAAATAAAATAGATTTAATGTTAAATATAGAGAAATTGACAGCTATTTCAATTTTGTGAAATTGGATTTTCATGCTTCTTTTGAATATTTTTATGCTAAAATAAATTCATCATTGCGAAGGTCGATGATCAGAATCCCTTTCAAGGAATTTAGCGCCTCATAATTTCTAATACAGGATAAAAGTTATATTGTGAAAGTTTCGGTGAATATTGAATGTTCCATACAATCTAATACTAGGGGATACTAGTATTTGACATTTTCATGAAGTTAATTTCATTTGCAATTATATTTCTTTCTTTTTATTTCCTTTTTTATGAAAATTTAATTTGCAATTCATTTCATTTTGTTAATGAAATAAAATTCTAAACTTAAAGAAGATCTATTTTTTAAAATATAAAACCTTTTTTATTAAAATTTGACTGTATACTTTCGTTATAAATTAATTTTGTATATTAACTTACGCTTTAGAATTTTAACATCCAACAAGAAAGTTTTCTTTACTAATACGTAAGCAGAAAGATTTCTTTCTGTCTGCAGACTTGCAAAATCCTTATTTCGCAACCACGCAGCAGCAATGAACATACCTATCAATTGCATAACCTCAGTACACTTTGATTCCTTAATTGCTTTAAAAAGTTGCATTTTCAATCTGCAATGTTCTGATTAACCTCTATAACACTGAAAGGATATATGCCAATAAAACAAAACAAATTCGACAATGTTTTGCAATTTTTTTCTTCAACTGTTTCTTATCATTTGTGCTCATATTTAATCAGTCCCTATCTCCTTTTTTTGTCCCCCGCTTTCGCGAAAGCGAGGGGACATTAAATCTCATTCGTCTGTCCGTCTGTCTGTCAGTCTGTCCGTCCGTCACAAAACTTTAACCTTGCCCATAACTTTTGATTCAGTGGAGCAATGACTTTCATATTTCATATGTGTATTCCTTGTGACAAGACCTTTCTTTTGGTATCACCAAATTTGACCTTGACCTTGGAGTTTGACCCACTTTTACACAAAAATTCCAAACTTTTACTTTGGTCATAACTTTTAAATGGTAGGTACAAGGACTTTCATATTTCACATATGTATTCTCTGTAGCAAGACCTTTTATTGGATGCCAACAACTTTGACCTTTTGACCTTGACCTTTCAGATTTCCGTAAAATAACTTCTGAATGGTAATGGATAGGGCTCTCATACTTCATATAAATAATTCTTGTGATAAGATCTTTCATTGAATACCAAAAACCTTGGCCCTTTCGACCTTGACATTTGAGTTTGACCTTCTTTTCAAAAACTTTGACCTTGGCCACAACTTTTGAACAGTAGATACCAGGACTTTTATATTTCACATACGTTTTCTTTGTGGCAAGACCTTTTATTTGATAGCAACAACCTTGACCTTGACCTTGGAGATTTTTTGTAATTAAGAGAAAACTTTTTGACCATTACTTTTGAATGGTAAGGGCTAGGGCTTTCATACTTCATATATGTAATTCTTTTGAGAAGACTTTTCATTGGATACAAAGAACGTTAACCATTTGACCTTGACCTTGGAGTTCAAGATAATTTCTAAATAGATGACTTATGATAGGGCGTTTATATTTAGACACAAAATGTCATAAAAAATGACATCTCACACAAAATGACACCGAAAGCGGGGGACCACAATTCTTTGAATTTGCTTGTTTCGTTTTCTTTTATAATTTTTTTTTTATTTTATCTCGGGAAATGTATGGTAATAAAATAAACAAGCAATTTTTAAAGAAAGTAATTTAAATAGTGTGACTTTAACATATTTAAGGTATAACATTCATTAGTTTTATTGATATTTTTACATAAAATTACGGCTCTACTTCCAAGTCATTAGCTGTTTAGTCCATATTGCACTGTAACCACATGTGTATTTGTATTTGTACTTATTTCGCATATTCTGTGAATTCACTATACAAGCACAAAACCCTAATAAGAAAAAAGTAACAGAAACAATTTTAAAGTGTTCAAGAATTAAACATGAACTTTTAAAATATTTTTTGAAAAGGCATTTTGATTCAGGTGTTAGCATATCTTGTTAATGTATCAATGAATTTAGCAGATGTGGAAATTTACCCCCGTTTAAGGCGGATTTCAACGAATGAGATACATGTAGTAATCCTATAGTAAATGTACCTATATTTTGAGACGGTCCCTTGAAAATACCTGGAAGGTAGATTTCGCCCAAACTTTGCATGTACACTAAAGTTAATGTAAGTTATACATGGTAAAAAAAAATGAAGAGTTTCGCTTCTGTAATTTTCACAAAATAAAACCCCCTTAAATGCAAAATCGCAAAAATAAATCGACTTACACTTTCCCAGATTCATGGTATTATCCAAAATGAATCGTGAAATGGTAAAAAGCGGCTGAGAATCATTAATTTTAGAGATCATGTGCTTTGGGGAGTAGAGAACAAGAAATAAGGTTTTGTAGTTAAATTTCATTCTGACCGTGAAATAAACATTTCAACCTTTGATTGAGTTATTTCATTATCATCTCACCATTTTTAAATATATAGTTAAGTTAAAAAAAATGAAGAATTCTTCTATTAATTGGGGAAAATAGAATATCATTATTCTTGTATCATTCTTGATTTTATGTGTTCATTTAATTTCCATTCATATTAAATCTATGTTCAACAAGTGCGATACATAAATCGATACTTGTTGACGATTTGATTGATAGAACATTAGTTAATCAACATAAGATTGCAGTACATATATTAACTGTTATTATTGTAAATTCAAACATATGCAAATTAATATGTTAAAAATAATGATTATACTATGGCTTCAAAAATCCCCTCGTATATAGTGATCGACCTGGTTTAGCATGATAACAGATGAAGCCATTTTTCATTCATAATAGTGACAACATTTAGACTGATAATGGATCAACAAATACGATAATTCGCTTTAATTCCAGAGTAAACTCCTATGGAAATTTGGGGGCTCTGGTTTTGTTTATAATGGCTACCTCTAGGTCGGATTTCGTTATGGAAAGTGAACAGTTTTTAAGCGAAGAAGTAAGTGGGATTTTTTTTATATGTTCCTTTTAGTATAGATCTCGTGAAAAATTGCATTAGTGTCAATTTTTGTTAGATCCGCTATAATACCCGGTATGTAAAAGGCTCTTTAGACAAACGCGCACTGTTAAACTTGTGCCATGAGTACGCACTTGTTCTACTTAGTATCACAAGGATATACTGTATTACGTTTGATAAGATAATTATCGTGAGACCTAATTCAGTTTGATAACTTTACCTAGCATATATATGTATTATATAATCATTGTTACGTTTCATTAAAATTAAAAAAAAATAATTCGTCTAGGCTTATCTTTAGCAATCTTACAATCTAGATACATGTACGTTTACAATGACAAATTTTAAACTTTTAATCTAACACATGCAATAAAAATGTCATTTTGGGTAAATTAAGTATAGTATATCAATCTGGTCCGTCATTCTTCTTTTTAGTTCTAGATACTAGTAATCAAAATTGAAAAAGGCGTAGGCTTTTGGATAACGAAGATGGGGTTGGGAAGATATAGGGGTTCCCTTCCTTAAGTATCTTTGAATTTAACAGTCCATTTTATGCTGTAATAGTATTCATCTAGACTCTAATTTATGAATTAATATGTTAACTTTTGCATTTTCCAAAAGTATCGAAATTAATATAGAGGAAGAGAAATGCCAAAAATATTTACGATGACATTTAATTTTGTCATATTCACAATATGATGAAAACGTTCTTTTTATCTATCCAAAAGGAAGGTGGCGTTGATTTGCCATTAGTTATAATGAATTATGTAGAGATAACGAACTGTGAAAGTATGTGATACTGATGGTCTTCATTGATTGCTGTTTTTTTAAAAGTCCCTTGCAAGACGTTAGATACCAAGAAGCGATGAAGGGCTTCAAGATTAGACCTACATATATATATTCGATACTAAAAGCCATTGATAATTTAGAGTTCTTTACAGTACCATCGCCTATCCGAAACACGTGACTTAAATTTTTTAACGTAATATTTGGTATTTGCCATGCGCCCGGCAAATTTCATTTCTAATGCAGCAATGGCTGTTGGCAAAATAACAGTCAGTTTACGGCCGTAAATGTTGAATTTGCTTCAGTATACGCTTCTTATATTTCCAAGTATATTGCACAGTTCATATCCTTTCTGTTTAAATACTACTGTTTGTCGTCTGAATGTAAACTTTTGTGACGATTAAAAAGTATGGAACATGTGTCAGTAATTTTTTATTCAAATAAAACGTAATTTTACAGATTTCCATTACCGTTTATATCATATTTAGATCATTGATTTTATAACCTAGCAAAGCCTAAAGTGTCATGTTTCGCTTTAGTTTGTATAAATGTTTATTTCTAATGTAGAATTTCACCGTAAATATAAAAATAAAAATTGAAGTCCATGTCAGCCACAAGTTTCCATGTTTTCCTATACCGCGATACTATGTTACAATTTAGGAGGTACCGGGTAAATAAGACTTCGTTTTAAAAATGCAACAAATTAAACAATGCAAACCTGAGAAATAAATGTCATAAATTGGTTTAATTTGCTTTTTATGCAAAAGGATTAAGTACGGTATATGGTATATATGACGTCTTTATATAAGTAAAATAATGGGACGTAAAACAACATACAATCATTCAATCAATATATTATTTTGAAATGGCACCGGGAACGAGAATTCCATCCATCGAGACCTCCCGTTCACAACGCGAGCCCTCTATTGCAAGACTACGGCATCGCGACCGGTTTGACGGTTGCGGAATGACTTCAAATTCAGGGAGCTGCCTAAGGTATACATTCTCAGGCGATGCCTCCAATGATAAGGAGTTAGGTCAGTGAATAAAAACAATGGACATAAAATGAAGAAGTTTCGACGGACTGTGAAATAGTCGTGGCAAGTCCCATGTCATTTTGTATCCATTCTACCCCCGGTGGCTGTCCGCTGCAAGGTATACTCGTTCCCGAATATGAAATTATTATAATTGTGAAGTGACGCTTTTTTATCTGCAGAAATTACATATATACATTATACAATTATTGCTGATTTTTTAGGACAGCCACAGGTAAGACCTCGTTCTGCAATACTGACTGTGATTTAGCCATCTGAAAACCAGTTTTGGTATTCACTTTTTTAGTAGGAATCCGAGAGGTGTTTTATATCGATAAATATGAACATTAACTTTGTTTAGTCCTTTTAAGATGGCTAAATTTTTTATACATACTGACCATGCGTAAAAGTTACAGCAATATTTGTTTTATTATATGATTCACTGATAAAATTTTAATAAAAACAAACCCATTACTTTTTGGTTGCATTTAATTAAGTCCTAGCCAAATACAAAAGAGAAGCAGAATTAAAATGTAAATAAGCCTTACCAGTCGTATCAATTTGAAGTTTTTTATCAATGTAGTTGACATGAAAAAAAATATATCAATCTTTTTTATAGGATAGACTTTGAAAGGAAGGAATATTATCAGGTAAAACTGACTGCCAAAAAGTAAAAATTAAAAGTGTTGTGTGTAAGAAGTGAAAACGCATGCTTCTCGTTCATCTTTTGTGTCCTTTGGATTCTATATATGTTCCATGGATCAATCATTGAAAATATATATATAGCAATATATTTTGTTCACATGAAAAAAAAATCATAGCCGTTTAAATCACTGGATTATTGTCCAAAACAATTTTTTGTAAAATTTTTGAATTTCCTACACTGTTCATAAAAATTTTTGATTTGATCAATGCTGTTTACTGATTTGCCTCGCCCTTTGTTCTCAAATAGATCCTAAGTTGTATTCACCTGGAACGTCACGTGCAGGTCAATAACAAATTTATTTTTTAACAAAAGATGACGTCACAAAAATGTTTTAAGAAATTATTATAATTGTGAAGTGACGCTTTTTTATCTGCAGAAATTACATATATACATTTACTTATATCATAAAGGTTCCCGTGAATACTGCATGGGAAAGTAAATATCAAGCAATTTAAGACAAATGTGGTGCCAACAATTAATCATTTGATAAGAATTTTGACTTTGAACTGCAAGTACAAACGCTAAAAGTTATTGGCGATTTCACTGTGTCAGCCATCTCCTTTACCAACTTTTAGGACAAAAGAATTGTCCATTAGATTTCATATAAATTTCAAGATCATGGACCCATTTTAAACTATCTCTCAAATTTGGATACGGTTCATAGGCATCCTTATAGCATTTATTCCGTGCACACATTTATAGATCCCCCTGAGGGCCTTTTCGACACATTTTATTTCATATAAAGATGTCTACAGCCCATGAGCCTCAGGTAATCATATTTTTTGGTTTGTACTTTTTTGTCTTTAAACTAATTCATCCATTTTTGGACATTTGCTGCAGTCTAATAATTAAATTCGCTTATGATACGGGTACTTAATATGTTGCACCTAGATCTGTGACAATGCCAACCCGATGTTTATAAACGTTTGGTCCGACACACTATAGTGCCGATGTTAAAGGTCACAGAAAGGTCATTGCATAAATCAGTAATATTTTACGAATACCGTGCCTTAATTTCTTGAGCTTAGTTACAATCAACATAATTCATAGCGGTCTTTTGTTAAAATGGGCATGTTTCATTCCGTGCATTTTGTATGTATTTTGCATTTCGAAAAAAAAAAAAATGAAAAGCCAGAAAAGTAAGCTCAACAATCAAACTAAGATTTCATTGATGAATTGATTATGTCTATCTATAATGGGAGTCCAGGAGATGCTATCTTTTTTTTTTTTTTTTTTTTTTTTTTTTGATAGAATGCTCTACATTTATCAGCAGATGTTTTAAGCTTCACATACATCTTGCGTGCTATTGTTGCTTAAAACATCTTTTTTTAATTTCTGATCATGAATTCTAAGCACCAGGCCTAATCAAGTGTGGAGTTTTGCATTTCAGTCTTGTGTCATTTTCCACAGTGTGCATGTATTATACACACATTTAATTCCTTTTAAATATTTACTTTTGAAACATTCCCTGTTTTCTTCCACATTAGGACCCAAACAACACAGCGACGGATTCTGTGATTATAACATACCAACATTCTCCTCCGCAATGCCTCAAAACCTGTTCTCCGCTCAGTCCTGTCGTCAGAGTCCGGAAATCCCTGGACCGAGTTCTCAAGAAACACAAAACGAGGTTAAAAGCCGGTTTCCGGATTTTTCTTCTTCTGGGATATTTTGCTTATTTCATTGGAGCAATGGTTCATAATTTCGGCGACGAGGGTTCGATTCGTTTACTTGTGTTGACAGTAGTTGTGTTGTTTTTCTATGCAATACATACATTAAAGAAATGGTATGGAGATCGAGTGGAAGCATTTTTAAACAGTACTCAAAAGAATCCAAACTTTCCGAAAGAAAGAACGAGGAAAATTTTTAAAAAGTATGTATGTATGCCATTTGTAATTTTAACATGCAAATTTTTTGTAGAAATTAAAAAAAAACACCTTTCTTTTCTGTAGGATATTAACCATGTATGTCATCATCGTCGTCATCATATACATCATAGCTACAGTGCTGTTTCACAACCCCTTCAGACTTGTGCCTGTTGCTGGTTTACTCTTTTTCACGTTTGTGCTGTTCTTCTTTTCAAAGGATCCTGAACAGGTTTGTGCTGTTCCTCTTTTCAAAGGACCCTGAATAGGTTATAAATGACCATTTTTTTCATACTGTATTCAGGCGAAAAGAATTAAAAAAAAAAAATAACTAGCTTCATGGCAAGAAACAATTCTCTAAACATAAAAGTTACTTAAAAGTTTAAAAGTATATTGCTTTTCTTTTCTCTGTAGTTCATGATGTATCAATCCATTAAAATAGAATTTAAAGTTTTAAATTCTTTTAAAATAAATAAACTCTCTTTATCTATTAATATATGTAGGTTTCTTGGCGACCAGTACTGTGGGGATTTTTGCTGCAGATGGTCTTTGCTTTGATAGTCCTCCGAACTACATGGGGTTATGACGCTTTTGATTGGCTGGGAAAAAGAGTCACGGAATTTCTCGACCACTCAGACAATGGCGCGGTATTTGTTTTTGGGGATGCCTTCACTGAACACTTTTTTGCATTCAAGGTAAAATAAAGTACATGTATATGTTCATGTTATGTAAGGGATTACTTTCCATTGACTTTTTAAATTACTAAACTATTTTAAAGTAAAATCCTTTTAGAAGGGAGTCGTATCTGTTCTTATCATTCTTCGGAAAAAATGTTCAAGTTTTGTTGGAAAAATTACATACAGTATAAAGAAAATCAAATGGAATTGAAGCTTTAAAACTGAAAAAGTTAGCATTTTTTTAAAATTTCTTTTTAATTTGATTTATTAAAACTATTTTAAGATCTTGCTCAAAGAAATGATTTGTTATTAACTTTTATTAATTAATCCTTGATGACAAAGATGCTTCACAAAAGTTAATAATACACAGTCCATTTTTCTTTCTTTGGCAGGTGATGTCTGTTATATTTTTCTTCAGTGCCGTCATCTCCATCTTGTATTACTTAGGATGGATGCAGGTCTTAATTCAGAAATTGGCCTTCATAATGCAGTATACCCTGGGAATCTCCGCGATGGAATCACTGCACGCCGCAGTCAATATATTTGTTGGATGGGTAAGCCTTTAAGGTTTATTGACCATATCTCACGGGAGATAATTCTCACTGGAGTAAATGATCCTTATCCATTTATAATTTTACTTAGATAAAAAATAAGTTCCTTTTAAATGCAAACTGACATTATGTTTTTTAATCATGACTTAAATTCATATGGATAACTTTGAGCGTTAAAACAAAATTAATAAATGATGAGACTTAACAACAAAAATGTATTAGGACTCGTTTTTTTTTCTAGGAGGGAAAAGAAATTAAATATGAATATATATTTTAATAAGTATTTGTATGTGATCCTTTTGTTCATTTTTTTTTACCTAAAATTTAGTTTTACCAAACACTAATACATAGGTATAGATTTATAGCTCAACAAAGTTAAAAATTTTCCCGAAAACCTCGGGATGGACAGAGATATATTTTCTTTCTAATTGTTATAGGACTACACCTTATATAAATTGAGTACATTACATGCAGTGAAGGAATCATTTAACAACAATTAAGAGAAATCATACAGGAAACGAGAGATTAAAAAATGACTTTCATCTTAGACCGAGATCACTCTCCAGTAATCTCCGTAAAGGCCATTTTCGAACGAGGAATGTCAATTTCACTAACAAATTGGTCTGAAAATCAGCCATTGTAGCTTTATGATCCAAAATTTAAGTATTATAGATAATGACGATTTGGGGTTAAATTCAAATGTCACCAAATCGTCGTGAAATTTTTGTCAATTTTCTCCTCATATTGTTGAACGAATACTAGTGACTGATATATGTTATAATTCAATTATGTGGTGAATTATGCATAATTTAGATATTTTCCAATGTCTTCAAATTGTATAAATCAACTATCATACTGTTCCAAATTAAAGAGATTATTATGTTGCTTGTAACTGTAATTCACTAACTACATGTAGGAGACCATGTATTGTATTTCTTGTAATATTTTAATCAATAATGATTTTGTTTCCATACACAATGGATGATCATTTTTTAAAAGTTTAATCTGATAACGAGAGCAGTTTTTAATTTTAAATCTTTACATAAGTGATGCATAATGGACAAAAAAAAAGTTATACAGTATGTATCGCTCTGCATTTTATCCTACTGCGTAAATAATGAATTAAAATTTAGCTATGTAATCATTTCAAGCTAACATTTCCAGACAAATTGATTTATTCAAACATAATAAAACGATCTTTTGGTTTTAGGCTGAAACTACGACAATCGTCAAGCCTCTCTTTGACAAGATGACCTTGTCTGAACTCCACACTGTGATGACGAATGGATTCGCAACAGTGGCAGGAAGCACTCTAGTTGTCTACATCCTCTTTGGGGTACCAGCAACATTTTTGCATTCTTTGAAACCTTTCCTTTCTCAATTTATTTCAAAAGCATTGCTACGTACCTTAACTTTTGGCAAAAGGCTCGAGTGAGCTTTTCTGATCGAAGGGTGTAAATTCAAGTCTGCCTGTCGTTTGTTAATTTTACTTTATTTTTTCCCCAACACTACAGGGACAATGTTTACAGACCCTTTATATATTTTTTTAAATATCCATTATTCATAATTTCTGTCTCTTTTAATTAATGCACTCAGGCTCCTGCAAATCACCTGCTATCTGCCAGTGTTATGTCCGCACCTGCTGCACTCGGAATTTCTAAATTATTTTGGCCCGAAAGCAAAGAAAGCAGACGAGATACATCTAACGACGCATTCGAAATAAAAAGGTGACATTGCTCTATTTAACTTAAATATTGATGACTGTAGAACATGTCAACTGGCATCGTAATGAAAATTCTAAAGTCATTGACAAGAACTGATATATTAAACCAAGAAAGTTTTACATCTTTAGACAGGGAAGAAACATCATGGAGGCCGCCTCGATTGGCGCCATTATCGCCCTACCGATTGTGGCGTACATCATAGCCAGTGTCATTGCCTTCTTCTCTCTCCTGGGATTTGTTAACGCTACCTTGGTATGGCTCGGGGAGAGGGTCGGACTCGTACTACCTGATTATCCTCCGCTGACCTTTCAGGTAAGATTATTAATAAAGATACCTGTCAGTTTGCTATTGCAGTGTCAAAATACCAGCATACCGGTATTCCGTCAAACGTTTGGAGAATATAATGTAGGTAGTCTAGAGATAAATAAAACATTCTACATATAATTATTATTTATACTTATACCAGTTCTATATTTTCAAACTGGCAATTATACTTGAAACATGTTTGAGGACAAAAGCGAATTTACTGCTTCCAATCTCCCAATTACTGCAAGTATTTTCCGACGTGAAGCCGAGGGAAATAGTCGCTGATGAGTTAGACAATAAACTTGCTTTTGTCTGAATAATCAGTACATGTAAATAGAGTATCATCATACTGAATATGACTTCACTTTTAAAAAAGAGAACAGAAATTTCTGGATTAAACGCGAGGGAAATCGAGTTTTATCGGTAAACAGTCCGTCGCCTTTCACCACGGTCAAAAGGTTCTTTTTATGCAAGTTTACTTGAAAAAGACGTTAATGGTAACCTAACAACCAAGTTATATGATAAACGTGACGACTTTAACTTTTCTATCGTCAACTTCCCTGACTTATGCAGCAATATACCTTCATCACATGCATACGGACTATATATCACTTGATTCGATATGCAAGAGTATGCTGTACGTACGAACAATTTCTAAAACGAGGTAAATTATTGACAAGCAAGTTGTTGAAACAAGAATATCAGCAGTGTCGTTTAAAGTCATCATTTCGTAAGTTCTATGGTCGATACAATGACCTTGTCAGCAAATACAATTTATCATTGAGTCAAATGCTGACTGGCGTTTTTCATACCAATTGTTAGTCCATTATTTATACACTGAATTGACGACGGATTTTTCCGTTATTTCACGATCATGACAATGAGCACATGGCCGGTGTGACCGGTCAGCAAGGGATGCTCACTCCTCCATGGCACCTGATCCCATCTCTGATGTTTCGGAGGTCCCTGTTTGCTCGGCTCTTATTTTGTATTGTTTTGTGGACTTTGAACCCCCATTTTACAGCTTATTTGCTCCTATCTATTTTGGCCACTGGTTTTTCTGTTGGGCGTGGAACCACGTGATTGTTGCGTTGTCGCACGGATGGTTGGAATCAAGACTTTCATCAATGAGTTTTTGGCGTACGAAGATTTGGGAAAAGTTGTCAAAAATAATCAGGTTTTTGAATCTTACGATGGTCCATGGACAACCACATCCAGCTGTGACGTATTCTTAGCCGATCGTAACGAAACTCTGACTGGAGGGATACTGACTGTAAGTATTCAAGTGCTACGATTCAGTATATCTTTTTTTAATTTTTGGAGAGGATTATTCCCATATACTTGTATATATGTAAGTTGCAAAGTTTAATGTGAAGGTATATTTTCATATTCATCTCAAATGTGTTTTTAAAAAATCTTTTTGAAAGTCTATGAATGTTTTTTTATTGAAACCTGGCAGCTTAATACATAAAGCTGAAAGAGAATTTATAACTGAAATGAAATGTTTAATAACATTGTACTTAGATTACTAAAGATTGGTGCTCACAAATTCTGTTTGTAATGTTACTATGTCATTTGTTTTTGTAAATTTGTAGGAACATTCGGTTGTTATTGCTACGTATGCACTCTGTGGATTTTCCAATCTCACAGCTCTTGGAATCATGATAGGTGCACTCACAGCTATAGCACCAAACCGCAAAGAAGATATAGTGCGTGTATCCTTCCGCGCCCTGATTTCTGGTTGTTTCGCCTGTTTTATGACTGCATGCATTGCAGGTAGAAGTCTATTTAACTCAATCTAGTTGAGAATTACTTTATTAATGACAAAATATCTTTTTTTTTCATATTTAAGTTAAACACGTTGTTTTTATTTTTCAGGCATACTTTCGTCATAGGCATGTTTGAATCCCTAGACCTAGAAAATATATGTTTCATTGAATATATACATTATTATATATATCGTGTCCTCTGTGGCACATACGTATTTTTAATAAAGTGTATAAATTTTATTTTATGTGGTTGGAGAATTATTGTTCTTTTAAAGCAGCCAAATGTGGTTAAACTGAAACTACTTTTTTTAATTTATCAAGTTCTTATGAATTTAGAAATCCATTTCTAACAAACATTCCTCTGTCGAACTTCTTCTGCGACGGGATCAAGTGCATTATTTTATTTATTTTTTTTACTTTCAACGATTGATAATTTCCATGATAATGATTTCAAAACTTAATGTTTTCCATTTTAAATTTATTTTTCAAGGGAAAAATATTTAAAACCTGTTTTGTAAGTCTGTATAATGTATATAAACTAATTTGGAACGACCGTATGAAATAAGATACATTAGTTTTAAGTATTTAAAAAAGAATTGATCATGTTTTGATCGGTAAATTCTTAATCCGATTGTATACTTATGAGACGCAATTCGGAGTTGTCTTACAATGTTAAAAAGAGGGGTATTGTTGACCTATTAAAAATGCTATTGTTACAACAAGACGTGTGATAGATTTGCACAAAACAATTTTGGAAAAAAACACTTACCAAGTTTTCTAAATATATCCGTCCAATCACGGTCGGGAATACTCGTTATATACATAGAACAATATCAAGACAAATTCAAAGACTCGCTACATTTAAAGAAGGCATTTTTTTTGTTTCTTTACATACACACGCCATGCATTTCGGAGATACTTGTGTGTATAATATGAATTGAAAATTATTTGCTCATTTTTTAAATTAAAGTAATGCTATATGATTGCAATATACAAATACGATACGCCTCATCAATTAGTTCATGAATGACTTGGGTATATGAACTTCGAATTCCTTTCAAAGGAATATTTAAAAAAAATCACGACCTATATGAATGTACTTTTATATTCCACCAGGTTTTTATTGGGTGAAAGGAATTGGAGAATGTGAATCGGTAAATATTTAAACATCATACTGGTGATTT